GTTTCCGTTAATTCGGCTAGGGCATAAGGGGAGCACCTCTGCGATTGTTACTGCCGGGTCAGCCGGATGTGTACCTTAGACTAGGTGAAGCCGAAAGCTAGCGTTCTTAAGGGAATATTCGGTTGGCGAACAAAAGATGACTTTTATTTATTTTGATACATGCCCCCAGATGTTTATAGCCTGCGTCTCTTTTCGCAGTTCGGACATGCACATTAGGGCATGCGTGCCCAGGGAAAGGAACCCTTAACGGAACTATTCTCCCTGGAAGATGTTTCTTACTATCCATGTAATATAACATAGCTAGTTGGGTGCTTTTCTGTTCAAGCACTTATGACCCCTATGCCTGGTTTCCACGCATACCCTGGTTTTTACATAACCGAGCGGGTATTCGGATACACTCCGGACCATCGGGTCCAGAGGTCGAAGCGAAAAGGTCCGTCATGACACATGATTTACAATCTGGCTAGGGACATTATATATGTCACTTAAATTACACAGTCACTAAGACTGACTAAATTCTTCTTCTATACCATCCAACAGGATGTCTAGCCTACAATCCTGTTGGAAATACTTTGCGGCTAATTCTACTTGGTCATACACCAAACTGACGGGGATCTCTTTCCCATCGAGCCCCACAGGTCCGACCTCTACCATGTGGTTTGGGTCAGCTTTGGTATATCGCGTCTTCACCATGGCCTAGGCTTCCCTTGCACCATGTCGGCAGGCTGCTATCTTCCATAATCGGAAGCGCCGTCGCGCTCCCTTGAGCTTCTCTATAAGCTCCCCCATGCCTCCTGGCGGGGAGGCGGATGGCCACAAGGCTTGGGCAATACCCTGCATCACCTGCCGAACTTGTTCGTGCAGTTGTGAGAGCTCTGGTAGAAGATCACCCGCAGACTCGGGCATCTCCTCCGCGAGACGACCCGTCAGCATACCTGCAGACATAACTCTATTAGCCGGTTTCTTCGCCGAACTCTTTCAAAAGTTCATTCAAGCACTTACTGAAAATGCTGCGTCGAAGCCGCTTATTCTTCTTCACGGAGTCCGCAAGCTCGACTCGGACATCTTTCAGTTCCACGCCCAGCTGGATATTGGCGTCCTGGAGATCATTTTTCTCCTGCCTGACCCGCGTAAGCACGCGCTCGCCAGCATTTAGCTGTCGATTAGCACGTTGCACATTCCCCGGCACGGCCTCCGGATTCACTCCGGAGTCATCCGCAACATCTATTGTTAGATTTGCATGCATGTCGCATACTATATGGTACATGTCATTCTTTGCAATGGAAACAAGTGTTACCAGAGGGGGCCTTCTCGGACTCCTTCAACGCGGCAACCGCGGCCCGTAGCTGGGCTTTGCACTCTTCCAGCTCTTGAGACAATTGGGTATTCTTCTCTATAAGAACCTGCACAAATAATGATCCTTAAATCAGTTGTGTCAACTGTTTCAAGTCTCAGGGGCTACTGATATATATAATCGTCAGATTTTCTTACCCGTATATCCTTTACATACTGGTTCATGGCTTTGGCAAGACCGTTTTGAGCAGCACGGATGTACGCGTCTCCTTAGTTGAAGGCATCGAATGCCTCTTGGGAGAAACAAGCGTAATGGAGTACGGCCCGGCGACGCCTGTGATTCATGGCACTCTCAACTTTGGAATTTGTAGCGGATAGTCTATCCGCATCCTCTGTAGGAGGAGCATCCGACGTTCGCCCCGTGTTAGCTTTTGCCTCTATGTCCGGCCCTGGAGCCCGACTGGTGGAGGTGTGATCGGCAACCTCTTCAGATATAGTCCGGCGAGCGTTTTTCCTACTAGGAAACATGGACGTCATTATATTTTAAGAAAGACGACAACCACAGAGCGAGGTTCTGTATCATACCTCTGCACCGGCGTCTCAGTCCTGACCGCCTTCCTTTTTAGCCTACCCGGCTTCGGTGTCCCTTGTTGGCGAGTCACTGCGGGTTCGGCATGGCGTCCCGAGGGCCTTCCCTGTAAGACACCATATGTGTACGGTAGGTGAAGTGCATAAAAGGGATCCTTCTCGGATGTTGGGACTCCGGTTTTTCTTACATGCGATGCAGGGAGTAGCCCAGGATAGTCGCCTATGATGGCCACCATGGCATCATCGCAGCTCAATTGATAGAATGTCCTGTCGATCAGCTCCACAAATATGTCCAGATCCTCTTCGAGTCCGGGGTCGAGGGACCGGTCAGGGTCCTCCTGTTGTGGAGGTGGGCTGTTGACCTCCCTTACAGCTTTTCGTAGTTCCTGCCATGAAATGGCAAGGTGAGTATTTATGACGAAGAATGCGGGAAGGTTGGGAGTAAAAAGTGACAGCTCACCCAACTTGGAGGGTTGTACATGGAGAATCCATCCCGTGGCTTAATACGGATGAACTCCTCTTCCTCTCCCTTGTACAAATCGGACATAATTTTTGCTAGAGCAGTAACTGAGTCCGGTCCCTTACGCCCGCAGCGGGTGGCATCATCTTCCCCGTTAAAGTGCCACATGGGGTGCCCTCGATATTGAAGTGGCTGCACCCCCCGCATTATACATATTGACATAACCTCGATTATTGTCAGTCCTGATTGAGCCAGCACTTTTATTCGGCCCATCAGGTAAAGGACTTCTCCGTTATCTTCCTCCTGAGGGCTCCGTGGGCGCCAGCTTTGGCGTTTCTTCAAAGGGGCATTGTCGAACTCGGGAAGACCCATTCGAATAGGATCTAGAAGGGGGACATCCTCCATGTAAAACCACTCCGAAGGCCAGTCTTCGGACGTCTTCTTCGGGGTACCGGACAGGTATCCGGTCCCGGCGATGTGCCATATTTCGGCTCCGCCCACATGATATATTGACCCCTTCTGTGTACGGGGCACAAGGCAGAATAGCCTATTCCACAGCTCGAAATGAGCTTCACATCCCAAAAACAGCTCACAAAGGGCAACATAACCAGCGATGTGTAATATGGAAGCGGGGGTGAAATTATGCAACTGGAGGCCATAAAACTCCAGGAGCCCGCGGAGGAACGGATGGATTGGAAATCCAAGCCCCCTTAGTAAATAAGGGACAAGGCATACCCGCTCCCCCTTGGAGGGATTGGGGAAGCTCTCTGCTTGCTCCCCGCCATTATAGGTGGCGAGCCCGGCTCGAACAGGGACCATATACGCTGGAGGGAGAAATCCCTGGGTCTGTAACTCTACTAATTGGCTATGCGGGATGGAACACTTCTCTCAATCACCGGGCTCAGGGATACGAGAGCAAGAGGAGGAGCTGCGATGGCCGGCCATGTTGGAATGGATTTTTCCGAGCACGCTCCGATGGATACTCGCCGTGGGAGGATGGTGTGGTCTGGATCTAAGAATCCCCGTCTCTTTAATAGACATTTTAATTACATGGCTAGGGTGGCAAATATAAAAATGCCCTGACTCCTCGCATTCGCTCGACACGTGGAAGATAGCCCTTATTGGGCGCGGAAGCCAAGAAGTGCAACATTTATGGGGAGTCGGACACTACTCAGCAGATATTCAGAATTTGGAGAAGAACCCACCTTGCAATGCCGAAGACAATCTGCGCGCCGGACTCATAGTCATTGAAGCCTGGTTCGGGGGCTACTGAGGGAGTCCTGGATTAGGGGGTCTCCGGACAGCCGGACTATATCCTTTGGCCGGACTGTTGGACTATGAAGATACAAGATTGAAGACTTCGTCTCGTGTCCGGATGGGACTCTCCTTGGCATGGAAGGCAAGCTTGGCAATACGGATATATAGATATCCTTCCTTGTAACTGACCCTGTGTAACCCTAGCCCCCTCCGGTGTCTATATAAACCGGAGGATTTAGTCCGTAGGACGGCAACAATCATATCATAGGCTAGCTTCTAGGGTTTAGCCTCTACGATCTCGTGGTAGATCAAATCTTGTAATACTCATATCATCAAGATCAATCAAGCAGGAAGTAGGGTATTACCTCCATCGAGAGGGCCCGAACATGGGTAAATATCGTGTCCTCCGTCTCCTGTTACCATCCGCCTTAGACGCACAGTTTGAGACCCCCTACCCGAGATCCGCCGGTTTTGACACCGACACCCTGATTGGTACGATTAGCTGTCTATACCACTTTTTTTAAGTATAATCGCCCCACTTTGTTACGATTCCAGAATAGTTACATCATGTACCAGTAGAGGGGAACCGGATCCTTTAACATTGAGAAGGAATGTTAGAGAAGCTACAATACCCTAACTTTCCTTCTTTCTCTTCAAATGATTATGGCTAAAATGATTTAAATTAATTTGCAAATTGATAATCTACCGTATATATTTATAGTAATTACATGCAAACAAATTGATGATGAAATAAAATAAAATTTAAATTATTTATATCTACAGTAAATACCAACACTAAACAACCTATTAACTATCACCGTCCCTAACTTTTCTTCTTTATTTTGCACTAGACTAACACTGTAGCACTGTGACATTCCTTTCAATGTTAAGAGGATCCGGTTCCCAGTAGAGGGATGATAGTCGAGTAGACCACTTGGCAAGCAGTGAAGTGCATCACCACAAAAGGGGGACCTTCTTCACATGCATCCTCCAACCTTGCCTCTGCATCAAGCTTCCGGCAGGACCATCTCCACTGTGTATTGAATCCTGCCAGCCGGCCACAGATCTGTTCCGATCTGCGAACCACACGAGCGACCCCTGTCCACAAAAAGCTTGCGGTCTGTCGACACCGCATCGTGTATCTCGTCAGTGCAGAATTTCCATGCTCACCGAGATTTATTACCACGTTACAGCTCGTATCCGTTGAAACTGAATCAACATCCAAATGTACCACATTGATCTTCATGCAAAGTGCTGAATGGTCTGATGATTAACATTGTGCAGACTACACAGCTAGCACACCATGACCAGAACGACAGTGCAAAATTGCTGGTTCTGCAATTTAATGGGTTAACGGCCCGGACACAACATGCATGTCTAATCATTGAAGAACCCAGAGCGCATGGCATCTCGATCATATATTCCCTGCGCTCGCTGCCACTCTTCTTCGTTAACCTCCCACTATCCACTCACGTTTCAAGCATCGAGTGAGAAACAGCATCGTCGACGTCCATCGACCTCTTCGTGCATGAGAAACGGCATGGCCGCTCCTAGGTTCAGGCCGATCGAGGAGTGCGCCACGGAAGGGCGGTCGCGGCAGACGGTCGCCGCCGACCTCGACGGCACGCTGCTCCTGTCCCGGAGCGCGTTCCCCTACTACCTCCTCATCGCGCTCGAGGCCGGCGGCCTCCTGCGCGCGCTCGCCCTCCTCGCGTCCGTGCCGCTGGTGTACCTCACCTACATCTCCGTGTCCGAGCCGCTGGCGGTGCGCACGTTCGTGTACATCGCCGTGGCTGGCCTGAGGGTTAGCGACGTCGAGGCGGTGGCGCGGTCGGTGCTCCCCAGGTTCTACGCCGGCGACGTGCACCCGGAGGGGTGGCGGGTGTTCCGCTCGTTCGGCAGGAGGTGCATCGTCACGGCGAGCCCCCGGGTGATGGTGGAGCCGTTCGCCAGGGCGTTCCTCGGCGCCGACAGGGTCATCGGGACGGAGCTGGAGGTGGACGGGTCCGGGCGGGCGACGGGGTTCGTCGCGCAGCCCGGCGTGCTCGTCGGCGAGCACAAGAGGCAGGCGGTGACGAGGGAGTTTGGCGACGCGCTGCCGGACGTCGGCATGGGGGACAGGGAGAGTGACTTCGACTTCATGTCCATCTGCAAGGTATGCTCAAGTGCTCGACTACTCCATGTTCAGTTAATTGACAACCTTCTCTACACACATTTCTCGCGTGTACAGTTATCGAAAAGTAGGCCGTCAGCCCTGATTTTTGTTGGCGTACATTTGACCACCAATACATTAGTGCAGTGCAGTACATTGCTTCCCCATCTACATCGTAGTCTGCAATTTTTGCCGTCCTAGATAGCAGACATGACCGATGTTGCAACTCTGGTGCAGTTCGACCCATTATACTCAAGGATTGGCCCCTTGTCGACATATCACATATTCCATAACGGGATTACTAAATCTCTGTCGACTGATACATAACTAAGTCTAGGTCGATGTTATATTCGTGAGACCTTATGTGGAGATTCATGCGAATGCGATATATTTTAAAAAAAAAACTTCCATTCCATTTATATATTCTTCCACTTGACTGAGACTTGGTTAAGTTTTAGTCGACTGGGATCTAGCCACACCCATTCCAGAATGCTCTTGTTAGTTGCATCAAAGCTGCATTTATAGGAACCCTTATAACGACATTTGATGGGATCTATACTCTCAAAAGCCCTCGAGTAAGATATTTGAATATAATAGTAAAACAAACACGACCACATATGAATAAACACACTATATGCATTGAAGTCACACAAATTTATTTGTAGAGAACATGTCTCTATTTTCTTTGTTAGAATTGGAAGCAAAACAAATTTAGATAAGGATTACTCTAGTCCCAAATATTCATTAAAAAATCCAATGAAAAATATAATTTTAAATCCGAACGTATCTTCCACAATTGACAACCAAAAAAATATAGAATAAGTACGTGTTTTAATATTTATCAATGCAGTTAAATGAGTAGTCTTGAAAATTGGTAAAGTATTTAAGGGTCTCAATGAAAAAAAAATACATTTGGTAGTACGATAACTTTTGAAGTAAAAAGGATTAGTACAAACAAAAAATTGTTGTGTCATCTCGAACACTATTATCTAATAAAAGTGGTGGAAACCACTAAGACACCTAAAAATATTGCAAACACATATGTACAATCGCAAGCAAAGACCCTGTTTATTTAGGTTTTGTTATTGCACAAAAAATGCAAGCAATTTACTTGTAATAGAATAATAGCTTCATTGATATAAGCATTCACATAAAATCTGAATTGTCAACTCACAGTAGTTTTTCATGTATAAAAATGTTTACACTAACAAAAACTTAAATGTTTTTCTCATGACTAAACCACCCAAATCGGTTATTCTTTTTGAGAAATTTGATTTTCTTATTAAAACTTAGTAAAAAATTGGGAAAAAATCATAATTTCAGATGAGTTCAAGAATATTCTCAAACTCTCCTAGGGTATGTATGAGCCTAGATTGAATTGGCAGAGTCTCTTCAATTTTATTTTAAAAAACTATATCCAACTTTGGCTGAAGGTTCTACAATTATTGTAAACTTTAAATTGGATGGTCATAATTATCTCAAAATATTCAAAAGTATTTGGCGGACATGGTTTATAGTGCGAGAATATTTTGATTTTCTAATATAGTTTGTATCTCAATTTGGATAAAAAAAAGCAGGGCAACCAATGGCATGTGAGGGTGCAGTTGGAACTGGGACAAATTGGTCGGACCCAGTTGCATGTCGATTGTGGACTTTCAAATTGGACAAAATATGTTAGCAGTTGCGTATCAAGGATGGACTTGCAACTGGGACAAAAAAGACGAACCACTCAATTGCATGTTAGAGATGGAGATGCAACTGGGGGAAAATGGCTAGCCCCCACCCACCCAACCCCAATTGCTTGTCGAGGGTGGAACTGCAATTTGGACAAAATTGGTTAGGGCCCAATTGCGTATGTAGGGTGGATTAGCAACTAGGACAAAAAATGTGCCCTCCAATTGCATGTCGGGGGTGTGAAGGTGCAACTGGGACAAAAAGAGTTGCCCCCTCCACTGCATGTCGAGGGTTGACTTGCAATAGGACAAAAATGAAGTTTGAGTCTAGGTGCATATCGATGGTGGACTTTCAATTAAAAAAGGCGGGCCCCGAATTGCATGTCGGGAGTGGAGTCGCTACTGAGACAAAAAAATGGCAGGTCGCCCCAATTGCATGTCGGAGGTGGATTTGCAATTAGGACAAAAAGGGTAGGGCCCCGAGTTGCATGTCAAGGCTGGACTTGTAACTTGGACAAAAAATGGGTGAGGCACTAGTTGCATGTCGAGCGTAAACTTGCAACTAGGACCCCCAAACTGCATGTTGGGGGTGAAGTGGCAACTGGGGACAAAAACGAGTCGGCCTCCTAGTTGCATATCGAGGGTGTACTTGCAAGTTGCTACTAAAAAAGGGACCTGCTTGCATGTTGGGGATGGCATTACAACTGGGACAAAAATGGTTCCCGTCCCCAACCAAAAAAAGGTTGTGTGCCGAGGGTGGACTTATGATCAGGACAATAAAAAAGGCTTTCCTGAGTTGCATGTCAGCGTGGACTTGCAACTAGGATAAAAATGGATCGGACTGACTTGCGTATCGAGGGTGGATTTGCAACTAGGACAAAAAAGGTCTATGAATAAAAACCACAAAATCCAAAGATGAAAATAGGGCAAAAGGGATACAAATGGATCTAAGGTCACTCGTCACGTCATCATTCACTGCCATCTTTTTCGTCGCGAGAAAAAAAAATCAAACCCCTCAGTCGACTCCCTCCTTCCTACTCCCGTCGGCTCTACTCCAAGGCAAAGGGCAATGAAAGAGAGATAGTGACAAATAAAACTAAGGAGGCAGCAACCATCTCATATTTTCAACTTGTACAACACATTCTTAAAAGAAATGGGCCCTCGAGGCCGTGTCATGAAGACAACCTAACAAAAGACACATGCACGAACGGGCCAACAAGTGGACACTGGACCTACGATGAGACATGGAAGTATAGGACGTACGTGACAAAACAACCTACGATCAAGATTTGTACAACATTTAAAACGAACAGGTCAAACGTCGGGAATTAGATGAGACCTTGCTAAATCTATTTAAAAAATAATGAATTTAAAACAAATAAATAAGAAGGAAAAGGAAAAATAAAAAATAAATAAGGAAAAGGAGAAATTAAAAAACCGATATTTTATAGAAAAAAGTTATGAATTGAAAACAATTGAACTTAAAAGAAAGTTCAAAAAATCAAAGCAAATAAATTAAAAACAATAAGGAAAAGTGGAAAAGGAAAAGGAAAAGGAAAGTAACACAACTCTGACTTGTACTCCCTCTGTAAACTAATATAAGAGTGTTTAGATTACTATTTTAGTATTCTAAACGCTCTTATATTAGTTTACGGAGGTAGTATATTTCTACCCCCACCCCATAGGGGAAAACAATGAAAAAGGCCCACTCTTTGATTGCATTGCATGAGACAAAAATATGTCCTTTTAGCCATTTTTTGTCAAGTTATATTTGAGCAAATAAAAAAGAAAAATTTAGAAAAACAATGCACTGCTGAGTTGCTGAAGTTTGAAACTCCTCCCTTACATATATGCATAAACTGTATGCTAGCGTCGTTGCGGGCAGCGTGAAAAACAAAATCGATACACCATTTACTGAGCATAAAAGAAAAAAATTACAAAAATGTATTGTTCAGTTTGTCTCATCCAAAATGCACACTTTTTCGGTTAGTCCTATCCTCTCAAAACACAAAACTAGAGTCATCAGTAAAAAGATATAAATAAAGTTCGAAGCCCTCAACACAGAGGCAAACATGGCCCAACAAAAAGTTGAAAAACACTAACAAAGCACCGAAAATACTAATTGAGGAGTACTTTTTTCAAGAGTCACTTACACCACTGGTGCTCAAACTTGGCGCGAAAAGCCATTTTAGTGCTAAAACTTGCGAAGTACATTGAACCGATGCAACAACTTGGCTTAAACATGCAAATACGATGCAAATGCAACTGAATACGCCCACGGGGCTCACCAAGCGTGACAGCATGGCATGGGTCCACTGTCAGCGACCCAAGTTGAAGACTTTTGGCCCGCTTCTTTCCAAAAACACCCTCAACATTTTTCTACTCACAATAAAGCCAGTGACATAGGTAAAAATAATTAGTTGTCTCAGCATCCTACGTACATTATATGACAAAAAAAATTTGGTCAACCACGGACTCAATCCGAGGACCTGTGGTACAGGGCGTGCGCAACTAGCCACAGCCTTGGGAATTTGTTGTCTCATATGAATACATATCTTTTATACACTTTTCCTTAAAGAATGTAAATTAATATTTTTGACACGTACAAGTTAAAAAAGATGGCTTAAGAACTCAAACTAGCGACCACATAAAGACCTGTAACCGATCCTTCCACTCCAATTAGAAAATTTTCATGTAATTTCATAAAATACTCAATTATTAATTTTATACTATACATATAATTAAATTAAGAAATACACAAATATTTGTATAACTCATTTAAACAAGTTTGTATATATTCAAATAAATGCTCATATAAGTAAAAAAAATCACAGTTTTACTAAAACTAGTCATCCTTTAGAAAACAGTTATGTTGGTTCAAGAAGTTGTTTTAATAAAGATTGTGTGTTTTCTAAAAAAGCATGTATTAACACACAAATAGAAAAATATATACAGGTGTGTTATATCGGCGTGTTATAAATATTATATACATAACAATGAAATAACTTACTTAAAATTGTCACGTATTATTTTGAAATATCCATGTACTTAGTTTATGAATTATAAAAAATGTTTGTATAATTAACGAATACAAATATTTCTTAAATTATAATTCATAAATATTATTTTTCAATTATTGAAACGTTTAAATAATTATACACATAATTTTATAACTCATAGGCATGTCCTTTAAAATAATGTTATTATAATAAAAAAAATATTCATAAGGGCAGAAAATAAAATGTTGATACGAATATTCAATAGCGTTAATACTTAAGTTATGTAAAAAAAATATAGGTCACAAGTGAAAATTATACAGAAGTTGATGGTCATAAATATTTAGTAAATGTTTGTATTCAATATTTTGTATAATTTAAATATGAGCCACGAATGTACAAAAATGTTCGTATTCCTTAAACATTTTGAATGATTTTATTTACTAACCATAAATTTTCATGTATAATATTTATAGCATAGTAATATTTGAACATTATTTTATTACTTACTACATGTATTTTGCAAATATCTTGAAAACAATTATCACGTACAAAATGAGCCACACTAACTGCAGTCCATGCCGAGTGAGCGTCATTGTTATAAGATATTTAGGCTAGCTATCCAATATGTCTGAGGAAAATGTTGGGGCTGCAGTGGCTAGTACCTTCAGTGTGCACGTTGCAGTTTTCATGTTTACACGGAGCAGGACGAATTTTTGTGATTATTTACAATTTGTACTACTGACTGGGGGCCCCAGCTCGCTGGCGCTTTCTTGTGAAAAAAAATAACAGGGCACACGCCCTGCATCTTGCGTCCTAACAATGGACCCATGCCACCCTGTCACGTCTAGTCAGCCCTGTGGGTGTATTCAATTGCATTTTGTACCGTATTTGCACAAAGAAGCCAAGTTGTTGCATCGATGTGGAAGCAAAACCGTGCCTTTCACAGAAGGAAAAAAAATGTGACATAGTCTAATGTATTTGTAGAAATACAGGGGCAGAGCTGCCTATGCATTGAGCATGCAACATTCTCTTGGACCTCCATGACATGATGTGCATATGGGCTAAAGTTTTTTAGAGACAGCATACTGTATATGACTCTTTTTATAACCAAGAAACATATATGGCTAAGACGCCCCCATGCATGCAGGAAGGGTACATCGTGACTCGAAGTAAGTACAGCCCGGTGCCAAAGAACCAGCTGGAGGGCCCCGTCATCCTCCACGACGGCCGCCTCGTCCAGCGCCCGACCGACATCAACGCCCTGCTCACCTTCCTGTGGTTGCCGATCGGCTTCGACCTGGCGCTCCTCCGCGTGCACGTCAAGCCGCTCCTCCCCGACCGCGTCGCCTTCTACGCCTACAAGCTCATGGGCGTCAAGCTCGCCGTGCGCGGCAACCCGCCGCCGCCGGCCACGAAGGGCCGGCCGGGCGTCCTCTTCGTGTGCAACCACCGCACCGCTCTCGACCCGACCATGGTCTCCGTCGCGCTGGGCCGCACGGTGACACGCGTCACGCACAACAGCGCCTCCGGCGTCCTGACGGACCACACCTCGCCGGTCAAGACCGTCGTGCTGTCCGAGGACCGCGACGGCGACGCGGCCCGCATCCGGCGGCTGCTCGAGGAGGGCGACCTCGTCGTGTTCCCCGAGGCCACGGCGTGCCGCGAGCCGTTACTGCTGCGGTTCGGCGCGCTCTTCGCGGAGCTCACGGACCGCATCGTGCCCGTGGCCATCGCCACCAAGGAGAGCATGTTCCACGGCTCGACGGTCCGCGGGCTGAAGGCCATGGACCCCTACTTCTTCTTCATCAACCCGCGCCCGACGTACGTGATCACGTTCCTCGACCAGCTGCCAAGGGAGCTCACCTGCGGCGGTGGCAAGTCGCCGGTCGAGGTGGCGAACTACGTCCAGAAGTTACTGGCCCGGGTGCTCGGGTTCGAGTGCACGAGCATCACGCGCGAGGAGAAGTACGGGGATCGTCGGAGCCGCGTGGCGTCCAACGACGACGGACCTGGAGAAGCCAACAGCGTAAGCACTTGAGCTAGGGGTATATATGAATGCATTCTCGATTTCTTATGTGTTAATAATGGCCATTCATCGTTTCCAATTGTTGTCATGTGTTCTAATTTTCTGTTTCAAGTTGTACAGTAACCCTTAGCAAGATCAGAGCCGCGAAGCTACCCAACCATGGCGTGTTTGACTTGTCGTGGATGTCTTGCTAGTTGCTACTTTCTTTTAGGGCATATTTGGTTCTAGGCAAAGTAGATTGAATCCTTCGGTATAGCATTATTTACATTTTTGGTTCAAATGAATAGAGTAAAGGAAAAGCGAAGAAATATTCCTTCGATATCATTTGATCTCACTTTTAAATGAAGAACACAGTAATTTAACAATCCACTTGGACCTTTTTTGGGGGGCACAATAGCTAAATGTCAGCCGACTGACTTTAGCTTTTGTCGTGACTCGATTTTCAGAAGGGCAAAGAAGTTTGCATGAGGGAGGCCGGAGGGAAGGAAGGAGCTCGCCGGAGGGCTGCCCCATCATCTATCTTAGGGTGGGGGTTGGAGGCGGCAGCACGATGGTGGTCGGGAGCGGTAGCACGGGGCGGTGCAAGTTCGCCGGCGAAAATCTCCGTCGGTGCCCGGGCTAGGGGGAGGGGGCGGCGACACGGTGGTGGGCCGCGGTTGGGGAAGGGCGGTGCGGCGAGGCTATGCGTGAGCGCCATCGTTTGCGGGTGGCGGGAGCAGGTGGTTAGGCCGGCGACGGCGGGGCGGTGGAGAAGAAGGAAGCAGGATGTTGAAGAAGGAAGTTGGTCCATTCATTTTCGCATCCAATGGTTGGTAAAATCGACTGACCCAAAAGAAAATTCAGGCGGTTGTCGAAGGGAGGGGGCATTTCAGCCCACGTTTTTCTCCACCCACCGCCGCTTACGATTCCGGCCATACCAGCCGTCGGGATCACGATGGTGGGCCACCACACACCCGAGATTGTCCTTCACCACTTCCTCCTTCCTCGGCCGGCGGGAAAGTTGCAGATCGGCGGCTGTTTGTCGTGGCCGCCAGATTTGGCGTTTCCGGCCACCGACGGCTGCGCCAAACCATGGATTGGTCGGGGAGCACCCCGCACAACCCCGACAAAGCCCTAACGATGTATGCGGGTACTGGCTCGTCCTCTAGCCGTCGTCGTCGGTTTGCCGGCTAGGACTCGGCCGGCGCTCGCGCAGCGGCTCGCCGGCTCGCCGATGCCGCTCATACAGTGTGACTACTGCATACAGATAGTGTTGCGCCTAACGTCTAGCACGCCGCAACACCCCAGATAGGTATTCTTCAAATGCGAAAACGACGGAGTATGTTCTTATTTTCATTCAGCTTTGTCAACCTATTCGGTTCAATTTCGATAGCTTATTGAGATGGTCATGTGGGTAGGAAGGTGGACGCTCATTTTGGTATTGGGAAAAAGAATACATCAATTTATTGATAGAAATAAACTCAATATATGTTCGTGCGCTCGGTGGTAGAATTGAGGCAAATAATGGGACTGCATGTGCAATTAAAGAAGAAGCTAGAGGGGAAGCACCGTCTTCTTTTTTTGAATCAAAAAAGAAGAATAAAGAATGCAAGATTAAGAATCTGCAGATTAACAATGAAGGCATGGAAAAGATGTTGGTCCAACTAATAAGAGCAATTATGGAAATTGGATATCTTCTAAATGCTTAATTGTGATTCTTGTTTTTTTGTATTACTATTCTACCAAAGATTTGGTGAATTATTATGTATCTAATGTCTTTGAAAAAATAAAGAAGCAAAAAAATGTATATTCATGCCCGAAATTGAAATGCAAATTATTGATTTACGGGCCGGCGCAGGCGGCGGCCGAGCAGACCCTGCAAAACGGACCGTAAAAAAGGACATTGCTGACGCCCGCGCTGGTCCGCAAAGTCGTTTTTTCACTAACTGTAAACGAATTTTGCGGGTCGACATTACACAAGGTCCGCTAGAGATGCTCTTGGTCGTGAAGGTGGTTCATGCCAAAGTTTCGAAATGAGATCATACTTAACTTCATTAATAATAAAATCATAACAATGTCTTCGAAAAAATAAACAGTGGTTTTGGCCCTCTTCGGCGCGACTTGAGCGCTGGTCACTCCTGGATATACAGGGTAGCCGACCAGTCCATGATATTTCTTGATATCGTGCAATCATACAAATCCATTACGTATCTGCTGCGCAACATGTTTTACATACATACATGCATGTGACATGTCCAGGTGACCACATCGTCCACAGGTCGCCATGTCACATCTTATGCGCTGGTACTGTAGTGGTACAACACACAGGGCGGCCAGATGCGGTGCACTGCATCAAGGTGAAGGTGCATGGGACACGAACTGCAGGAACTCGTCGTCGCACAGGAGGCGGCCCATGGTGTCCGGGGCGAGGCACACCTCCACGTCCACGCTGCCGTCCCCGGCCTGCCCCGGGAACGCCGACATCTTGCCGTCGAACTTGTTCGCCCGCCCGCTCCGCACCGCGAGCGCCCTGCCCCAGCCGAAGTCGTTGCCGTCGTACATCGGGAACCGCGGCGAGCTGCCCATGGTGAGCGCCGCGCCGTCGGGGTTCCCCAGCGGGAAGCACCGGGGCGGCGCCTCCCAGTCCGCCGCGGCCTTCCGGATGGCGCCGTCCTCGTGCGCCACCACGGTCGCGTGCAGCCTGGCCGCCGCCCACCCGAGGTCGTGGGACGCCAGCTCCGCCACCGTCGCCGTCGTCGCCACGCTCTGGATCGCGTTGCCGAAGTAGACCGGGGAGATCTTCGGGCGCAGGCGGTGCCGGCAGTTCACCGCCATGCGGAACGTTGTCGTCGCGTCGGCGGCCAGCTGCAGCCGCGCCCGCGTCACGGCCCTCCACATGTGCGCGCACATCGACTGGAAGGAGGAGATCTCCCCGCAGCCTCCCTGGACCTTCAGATCATGCACGAGCTTGCCTTTAACCTCGTCGTCTTCGTTGCTTTTTCTGCAGCGGTTGGCCGCCGCCTTCAGGCCGCGAATCGACGCGGCGCTGAAGTTGATGACTCGCTCACGGAGGGGCGCCGATGCGTCGAACGTCACCGCGGGGCCGTCGCGTCCGGAGAAGCGGAGGACAGCCGTGGAGCCGCCGAAGAAGTTGCGGCTGAAGTCCGGCGGCTGGACTGGCTCGCCACGGCACAGCCCAGCCCACGTGTTGAAGAAGTGCCAGAATGAGGTGCCGTCCACGACGGCGTGGTTGGCGACGAGGCCGACGAAGACAGCGCCGTCGCCGAGCACGGTGACCTGAAACGACGTGAGCGGGCGGCGGTGGCCTTCGTAGCTGACGGTGCGGTCCATCGGGAACAGATCCTTCGTCAGCCTGGTGGGCACGTCGGCGTCGCGCACGAGGAAGTCGGCGAGCGACAGAGCGGGCGCCACGGCATGGTAGAACTCGACGGCAGCGCCGTCGTCGCACCGGATGACGATGCGGTCGTCGGGGAGCGTGACGAGCCGTCCCGCGAGCGCCGGGAAGACGCCGAGCGCGCGGGAGAGCGACAGCGCGAGCGACGACACGAGGCGGGCGTTCGGCATGCCCGCGGGCGGGAAGAAGAGCCCCTTCTGAATGTAGTGGCACGACAGCATGGGCATGTCGGAGACGGACAGCCTGAGGTCTCCGACCGGCGGCGCGCCCTCCGGCAGAACCAGCTGCTTGGAGACGACGGTGATGCTCGGCGCCGGCGCGCCCGCGCAAACCATTTGGTTCAGCACGGCCATGGACGCAGGCGCCGGTGCGGCCTCCACCACGACGTCGGCGGAGATCGGCGGAGCCATACTGTGTGTAGTGGCTGCTGCGCGCGCTCTCGGTGATAGCGTCACACAGGATGGCGTTGGGCATCGCTCGGTGGTCGACACGTTATATAGACACGGAGCTGGGTCTGGGTTCATGCATCTGGCCTTCTCCTATTCATCTTGTACATTGTTGCGAGGTGACCGTGGGCTGTGGCTCCCAGGTACACTTTGAGTGGATGTGCTGATAAGAAGTTGTGCTTCTTGGCCAGAGAAAGCAGAGAACCATAGAATAGACGAGGGGCCGCCGTTGCATAAAAATCCAACGGTTCACAACCCTGAAAATATATTAGTTTCAATCGACTTTCTCCGAACCCTGGACCATCCCTCTGATAAACATTCTCTTATAAATTCCGTCGTCGTGAGGACGGGCGT